CCCTCCCCAGCGCGGGGGCAGCGCGGGAGGCGCAGACGCGGCTGCGCCCGGCAGGGCTGGGTTTATTTATTGCCTCTGGCCCGGGGCCGGGGCAGCCCGAGCCCTTCCCCGCCTCCCATCCCCCCAAAGCCGTATCCCTCCCAGGGACCTATCTTCCCCAAGTCCGCACCAGGCTCTGGGTAGAGCCCTCCGGAGATTTAGGGGTGGAGGGCGGGCATGGGGGCAGAGAGACGGACCGGCGCCCTGTGAAGCCACATCCTGGTCCATCCCGGGCTGACTCCGCGAGGAGAGGGTGGTGGTGAAGGAGGTTGACACCTCTGCCCTAGGTTCGGCCTTGGGGCTTAGAACTGCCAATCTTAAACTCTCCAGGGCTGTGGCTCTGGAGTCCCCCTTCCTCCAGGGCTGTCTTTTCTCTCCAGGATTTCCTGTACACCCAGCTCCAGACAACCCCCGTAAGTCCACGGCCCCCGGAGCCTTTCCCCTTTAAAATAAATTAAGGAATTTTCAGCTTCTACTCCATCCCAGGAAAAGGGGAAGCCACAGCCCTCAGCCAGGTGACAGACATAGGGTTGGGTCCAGCAAAGCGCCCCGGCTTCACATCTAAAGAGTCCGGATGGCCACGGGGTAGAGCAGGGACATGTGTTCGGCCCCCTTAATGGGCAGCTTGCGGCTGGCATAGTGGTGCACGATTTCAGGAACGCTGCTGAAGGGCGGGCTGTTCTGGCCCAGCACATATTTGTGTTCCTTGGTCCGGGACAGCTTCATGTGCATGAAGCCTTGGCTGCTCCTGAGAAAGGAGAGGAGACCCGGATAAGTGGGGCCTCTCCTCAGTCTCCAACCCAACCATCCAGTAACTCCCCAGCTCCCCAGTAAACATGGTGGTTCTGATGCCAGCTGAGAATGGAAGGTGAATAGGGAACGTGGAGGTCAGTTCAGAAAGCAAGGCGGTGGTGGTGTGAGTAGGGAGCTTTGGGCATTGGCTTTGTGGGGAGGCTACTGGGTGTGCCAAGAAGTGAGTGTACAGGGTGTGTGCTGGTAGAAACTGGAGCCACCATCACCCCCTCCAATTCGCAGGTCCAGACACCCCTGCCCTCCAGACTATGTGGCTAGGGCCAGTTTAACCTTACCCTTCCTGAGCTGTGGAGTGGGACACCTGTGGCTCAAGTGGAGCATCTCTGGCAGTAGAGTGGGTAGCCAGATTTGACGACCAAGCTGGTCTTGGTTGGAGCTCTCCCTTGCAAGGACTAGGGAAGGGGATAAGCTGATCTGGAAGTACTCCCAAAATCTGGGCATGCTCAGCTGGCTTCTCCTGGGGACATCTCTTTACCCTCTTGCTATCTGGGCCTTGGGCCAAGCCCCAAGCTCATCCATCCAGCCCTTCAGCCTAGGATGACATCACTCCTTTCTCAGAGAGGACAAGCTCCACTGCCTCTCCCATCTTCCACCACACCCAGGGAATCAGCATTAGTGCCAGGCCCTGGCCTTAAGACAAGGACTCCACTGCCCAGAGCTCTGGCCAGATCCTAAATGTCCAGGCACCCTCAGCCTTAGACAAAGGGTAAGCCCCCCAGCAAGAACATTTGTCCAAACTACCCCAGGCTTGGTCTGCTAGGCCCCAGGTCTGAAACTCACCCACAGGCAAGGGGTAAGGAATGTTTGGGGGAGCCTTGAAGCCTTGAGTGCTTGTCTGCTGCTGGCCAGAGCCCACCTGGGGACAAGGATAGGGCTTAGAGGCTATTGTGGGAAGTAGGACTGGTGAGGCGGCCGCCTCCATCCCAAGTCTTCCGTCCCTGGGAGGTGAGGCTGGCAAACCTCATCACTTGTCTCCCCTGCCTGGGTACAAAGGCTCTGCTTAGACCCATTTCACTAGGTCCGCAAGTGAGAGTGGGGAGGCTGAAGGGAGGAGAGGGATAGGAGGAAAAACAGGCCTCTACCACTATTTTCTGCCTCTCCCCAGGGCATGGTGTCCTGAAGCCTTATTCATGAGCCCAGCTGCCTGCTGGGAGGCCTGGAGACCCAGGGCTAGGTGTGTCAGGGTGTGAGGCCATCTGTAGGTCTGAGATAACTGGGGTTGACAGTGACCACACAGGCCCTGGGGAAATGGCACCTAGGGCCTTGAGGTGGTGAGGGGAGATAGTAAGCTGTCACCCTCTGCCCTAAGCTAAGGCTCGGGCTCCAGGCTGTGGGCAGCAGTGTGGGCCCTGCTTTCCCTCCCCTCTTCCCTGTTTGGGGATGACCCCCTCCTTACAGTCCTACCCTTGGGGGAATTGTCTTTCCTGAAAGCAGCACATTACATCTGAGAGACAGAGGGAGTGAGGAAGGGCTATCTGGTGGAGAAGGGCAACAAGTGGCCAGAGTGCTCAGCCTCCATCTGTAGAGCTGACCTCCTGGGGAGGGCATCTTCTGGGGCAAAGTCCCAAGGGCCCATTAGGACACAACAAAGCTCTTGCCAGGCCCTCAAGGGGCCAGGGTGGGATCAGCTGGGCTGCAGGGCCAGGCTGGCAAGGCTTTTTTGAGGAAGTTGTTTAATTACCAGTGAAAGCCCTTCCATTAGGGAGAGAACAGAAACCATAATTGTATTTCAGAGAAGCCATTTATATGCAAACGAGGTTCTGGCAGACAGATGCTGGCAGGACCAGATCAGCTAGGGCTGGAGCAAGCATCCCAACCTGCCTCCCTTTTTTACTACCCAGGCTAAGGCAGGGCCAGTTGGGCTCCACTCTGGAAAGCCAGGCCCCTGGCATCAATCCTTGCTTTGGCCAGTACCAAACTATATGGCAATGAGCCCACCTGGGGACAAGGACAGGGCTTAGAGGCCAGTGTGAGAAGTAGGTCAGGTGAGGAAGCAGCCTCCATTCTGAGGCCCCCATCCCTGAGAGGTGACGTGAGGCTGGCAAACCTCATCACTCAAGAGCCTGGCTACAATGGCACAGTGTAGTTTGTGGAGTCAGACTGAGCTGGGTTCAAATCCTGGTTTTGGGACTTTATTAGCTGATGTCTTAAGCAAGTCACAAAACTTTTTGAATCTATTTTCTATCTACAAAAAAGTGATCTACCTTGTAGAGTGGTGGTTGGTTTGGAGATGGTATATATGCTGCTTGGTATGCTCCATTTAATTCCATCCTATATTATTATTCCCTCATTTTATTAGTAAGGAAATTGAGGCTTAGCAAGGTTAAGGGGGCCCCAGGCCACACAGCTAGTAAGAACAGAACCTTTCCCAGCTGGACACTGCAGATCAACTATTTCTCCCGGTGAACCCTCAGCTCTTTGACAGCAGGGGCTGCGTCTCAGACATTTCAGGATGTCCTGGGGATTGTTCACCAGGGATGGGGACCTCCCCTGCTTAGTGGACCTGAATGGAATACTGCAGTCCCCTCTGATGCTGCTGGCTGTCTCCCACCCACAGCCGTCCCCACTCACTTGAGGGAGAGGGAGAAGTCATTCTTGCTGGTCTCACTGTTGCGCACCAGGTAGCTGGCCTCTTTGCACAGCCGGAGCAGGTTCTCGGCATCGGTTCGGCTGATGGCACCGTGATACCAGCTGAGGATAAGAGAGGGGAAGGGGGGCATCTCTGCTGGGTCCCTCGCCGTCCAGGCCCACCCATTCTGGGTGTCCCCTGCAGGGCAGCCAGTGCCAGGAGGGGAGGAAAGGAGAGGGAGTTCCCAGCTGGACACAGACACTCACACCTGGTTTTCCAGAGGCAGTGCTGGATCTGTCCACTCCCCCAGGGGGCTGCTGGGCTCCATGCTTAGGGGTTTGGCTGACTTGGGGTTCCCTGCAGAGAGTCGGGGAGGTAGCCGCCCCTTCTCTTCCCGGCCAGGTGACAGGCAGCTCTTCTCCGATCCTTCAAACTGGGCTGTGGGGAACATACCAATCATGGATGCTGAGGACCCTAGAGGTAGAAGCCTACGGAATAGCCAGTGCCCCACCCCTATTTCCTCCAGCCCCGAAGAGTCAAAAGAATTTTCTGGGAGGGCAGCCTTTGCTCCTGGACCTTACTAGTTCTAGGGACAAATCCTTGCTCCATTACCCCAGTGGGGTGGGGATAGGGGTGGCACTCAGCCTCCTTTGCCGCACAGGGTCTCCCAGTCCCCCACTGTGGGGGAAGAGAGAGGAGCAACATGAAAAACCACTTAAGCTTCTCCCTCTGGAGCCGCTGACTGCCTTCCCCTATTCCATCCCCCTCAGGGTGGTTTCAGTGCTGATAATATTGTTTCTTTCTCCTCCTCAGAGTTCATTACCGTTCTCCAAATCACCCTGCCAAGCCATTCTGTAGAAATGACTTATTGATCTGAGAACAATTATCCGATTCCCCTTGGTGCCATCCTGACAGGCTAATCCCGCCCAAAGTCGCCAGCCAGCCTGGCCCTTCCCTGCCCCCAAGGTCACTGCCCACTGGCTCCTCTCCCCACCCACAGAAGCCCAGCAGAGGTGGTCCTGCCCTCACTTCCCCCCACCCCCACCAGGGCAGCCTGAGAGCTGATCTTATACAAGGCTCAGGGGGTCCCATGGCCACAAGCACACATGCATAGGCGACAGACACCCTTCTTCATCCTGTATTTTACAAAATACCCACAATCCTCAGGCACAAATGTACAGATGCTCACACCTGTGTACGCACACCTTTAGGTGCCTATTCTGGGTAAAACTGAACGTAGAGGAAGAATTAACTGTCTTTCCCCCTCCCCCATTAGGGCTCTTTTACTCTCCTTCTAGTACTTTTTTTTTTTTTTGAGTTGGAGTCTCACTCTGTCACCCAGGCTGGAGTGCAGTGGCACGTTCTCAGCTGCCACAGCCTCAACCTGCTGGGCTTAGGTGATTCTTCTGCCTCAGCCTTCCGAGTAGCTGGAACTACAGCCACGTTACCACCACACCTGGCTAATTCTTTGATATATTGTAGAGATGAGATCTCGCCAAGTTGCCCAGGCTGGTCTCGAACCCACGGGCTCAGGCAATCCTCTCACCTCAGCCTCCCAAAATGCTGGGATTATAGGCCTGAGCCACCGAGCCCAGACCTTTTAGCACTTTCAAGCCCTATGGTCTTCCAGTTACTGGATGCAAGGATCAGATCCTCTCCTTTACTCTGAGGACAGGTTAGGTACTTCCTGTGCTAGTACTACCTCCACCTCAGGAGTATCTGCATTGCCAAAGGATCAGGCAAAGCTATATCCAAAGTGAATTTGAAATAGTGGATTTTTGCCAGGCTCACGTCTGTAATCCCAGCCCTTTGGGAGGCGGAGGCAAGAGGATTGACTGAACCCAGGGGCTTGAGACCAGCCTGGGCAACTTCGCAAAACTTCGTCTCTACAATAAATAGAAAAATGAAGCCAGATGCAATGGCTTATGCCTGTACTCCAGCACTTTGGGAGGCTGAGGCAAGAGGACTGCCTGAGTCCGGGAGTTTGAGACCAGCCAGGGTGAGACCTTGTCTCTACAACAAATTAAAAAAAATTAGTTGGGCATGGTGACACATGTCTGCAGTCCCAGTTACTTGGAAGACTGAGGCAGAAGGATCGCCTGAGCCCAGCAAGTTGAGGCTGCAGCAGCCGTGATTGTACCCCTGCACTCCAGCCTGGGCGACAGGGTAAGACTCCAACTCAACAAATACAAATAAATCAGCTGGGCATGGTGGTGGGCAACTGTGGTTCCAGTTCCTTAGGAGGCTGAGGTGGAAGGATCCCCTGACTCAGCAGATTCAGGCTGTAGTTGCTGTGAGCGTGCCACTGAACTCCAGCCTGGGTGACAGAATGAAATTCCAAATCAATCAGTAAGTAAGTAAGTGGATTTTTGTGGCACACTGAAGAACATATTAGAAAGGGACCTCCCAGCCAGGCATGGTGGCCATGCCTGTAATCCCAGCACTTTGGGAGGCAAGGAGAGAGGATTTCCTGAGCACAAAGGTTCAAGACCAGCCTGGGCAACTTGGCGAGACCTCGTCTCTACAATAGATCAAAAAATTAACCAGGTGTGGTAGTGCGCTCCTGTAGTCCCAGCTACTCAGGAGGCCGAGGTGGAAGGATCACCTAAGCCCAGCATGTGGAGGCTGTGGTGGCAGTGAGCGCTTGGGTGACAGAGTGAGACTCTGACTCAGAAAAGAAAAAAAGAAAGAAAGGGACCTTCCTTAGGAGATACCTTCCCCACAGCTTTAGAGAAGGGAGAATTGTGCATTTTGTCTCTTCCTTCCTCCTTCAGAATGAGAGAGATTCTTCCTAGGGTCTCTAAACCCTGCCCCACCTCTCAGCTCCTCCAACTCAAGCCCACACAGGCCCTGAGTGGTGAGGACATGTTACCCTGGCCAGAAGCCCCCACCGGACCCACCGCTGCTGTCCTCCAGGCTGGGCTCTGGGAGGGGCGAGGCTGGACCGGAGATGTCCCTGTCCCCGTCGGGCAGGGAGGGGCTGCTGTCCAGCTGTCCCACAGGCGGAGGCCAAGGTAGGTCTTTGATGACCTTAATGTCAACTGGAGCCCGTAGCAGAAGTGAGAAGAGACATAGACAGTGACAGAGACAGAAAGAGGCAGAGGATGAGACACCAAAAACCCAGAGCCAGGACACAGGACAGCCTAGAAAGGAGGAGGGGCAGAGGCAGAGGCAGGGGTGGCTTCTGGGGAGGCAACAGGACTCTCAGAGGGCTAAGCAGAGCCAACACTGACCACACCAGGCTGGCCTTGTCAAAGGATGGGAGGCTCAGGTGGCAAACAACAGGATGTTTGTAGACTCTTGTTCTGCCAGCCCCGTGGGTCCCCTTCATTTGACCTCTTACAAGCCTCCAGGGCCCAAAAGCACCAGGAAGAGGAAAGGCAGGACTCATACAACCAACACCTCCCAGCACTACACCCATGTTCCCACAGCCTCCTGGGTAACCCTAGCCTTGCCTCCCTTTCTCCTTTTCCCTGCAGCCTGGGAAATCACAGGCAGCAAGAATGAGATGACCTAGGCTCTCTGGTTGTCAGGAATACTCAGACCTGGGGGTAGATGTTTTATTGAAATTTAATCCCCCCTTCCTGAGAAGAGTGATACCACCAGCAGCTGCAGGACTGCTAACGAGGTTTCCTAATGACGAGCATAGATTTTCCCATTAAGCAATCCAAACAGTATTGATTCTCCAAGGAGACTTCTGGAGATAAACGGCCCATCCTCAGTGGCACATGCTTTACAGGAAGCAAATTAGAAATCTGTGGTTTCCCAGTGTGGTGCTCAGGGTGGGACAGGCAGAGGAGGGCTGGGTCCAGCTCCACAATGAGCCCCTTGCCTAAGGAGGGGTGAAAGACACACAGGAGCAGGAATGAACTCAAATGGCATTTAAGTCCTTTATGCTCTCACCAAATTGAGGATCCAGGAATGGTAGCGTTCTCCCACCTTTGGGCTCTTGCTCCACCCACCTGAGACCACAAACATGCACTTTTCCATGGTGTACTTGGGCTTAGGATGAACAGTGGTGTGGTTGGGACAGAAGAAACCTAATCCTCATTCAGCAATCAAGGGATTTCTCACAACCTCCCTTGCTCCTCAGAAATCCCATTGGAGCCAGACACCCTTGGTCTGGCAGGGCCTACCCCTGGGAGCAACAGCCCAATAATTCAGGTTACACCCACAGCTGTTTTCATGGTTTGAAGTGTTAAATGTCTTCTTTTGTTAAATGTAAGTATTTAACATATGCCACAAGTTTTATAATTTTGTTTGGAATTTCTTTATTTTTAAATACACCCAGTGCCCCAAAAGGTGGAAGTGGCCTAAGCCTCTTGGCCTCCCAGAGATGGTGATGCAAGGAAACATCATTCTCCTCCTATGCTCATTTCCTGACCTTGCACACAGCACTGTGTCCACACTGCCCAATTCCCCACTCACTGTGGTACAGAACTCAACTACATTTCCCTGCAGTTCTGCTCATGCCCCATCACTCCCAGTTCCTGGGGTCCATTCCTTCCATTCTCCTGGAAAGCTGTTCAGAGGCCCCAACAGATGTGCCTTCTCCACCAGGACTCACCTGCAAAGGCTTTGGAAATCCGCTCCTTCTTCCACTCCCAGGGTTGGTCATACTCCTCGGGGGGCCTCTCATCATCTTCTGGCAGGCGGGACTCCCGGGGCCAGGGGGCCCCCTCACCCTCCGGGGTAGCCCCGTCCTCTTCTGGCTCATAGGGTGTGTCATACAGAGGCAAGGGTTGAGCTGCTGTCTCCTTGGAGCCCCGGATCTCTGCCAGGGCAAGGTAAGGAGGGAGAGGGGAGAGCTCAGCTCTGGCTGTCTGGCTCCCCTCCTCCCATAACACTTGTCAGCAATGAGCCATGCCTCCTTCAGAGGAGATACCCTGGTTCAGGGGGAACACAGCTGCTATACATCCTGGATTCCTCACCATCAAAACACTTCTGGGTCTCTAAAAACATGGGACCCAGTGGAGGCAGAGGCAGATGGACACCAGAGTAAAAGATGGAAAAATGATCCCACAACAATCAGCAAGGGCTGGGTAGCTGAAGTTTGCATGTTTAGGAAACTGAGGCATGCTCTTCTCCTTGTCCATCTCCTCCTTGTTGCCAAGCTCCACTTATTTCCTTGTGTCCCAAGTGATACCATTTCACAATCATAATTTTTTCTTTGCTGCTTAGACACTGCTGACCACCCCCTTCTCGAAACTTTGCCTTTTGACAAGTCATTTTCATGGACTGTTCTCTTTGATCACTTCCATTTGGTTTCTCCCTGGCCTCTCTCTTGGCCTCTGTTCCCCAAAGCTAGGTTTTATTCATTTCTCCCTAACTCTTGAACTACTTGACTGGTATCATGGCATCTACTGCATCAGTATTTCTAGTCATGTGTGTCCACTGCCACAAAGATGTCTCATCTCAACATCCCATCCTTTCACACTTACCACCTTCTTCAAAGTTAGTGATTCTATTCTTAGGATCACTCGACCCCAAGGAAAATCTGACAAACTCTATTGTGGTGTTATGATATACACATATACTTGTATATATGTTGGCTTTAGTCCATAATTCCTGGCTTATAACTCCCAGAGCCCTTGTTACAGTCTTTTGTTATAATGTTGAGTGTGTTAGGCCTCAGGAAACAGAATTTCTCTGATCTTCTCCTGTTCTCCTTCCATCTGCCCCAAAGTATTCTAATCTTCCCCCCACCTTCTTATTTTCTGAGTCTCGGTCTCACTCTGTTGCCCAGACCAGTGTGCAGTGGCATGATCAGGGCTCACTGTGGCCTCAACTTCCCAGGCTCAGACAATTGTTCTGCCTCCGCCTCCTGAGCAGTTAGGACTACAGGCATGCACCACCATGCTTGGCTAATTTTTTGTAGAGACAAGTTCTCAAGGTCCTGTTATGTTGCCCAGCCTGTTGGTGCTATGGTGCCCAGGCCATCTTCTGATTGTGGGTCTTAAGACCTTCCCCAGAGACGGTCCCACCCTATGCCCTAGAAGAAGGAATGCTTCCATAACAACTCAAGGGGACTGTGTTCAGGGAGCATCTAAACAGCTGAACACATGGAAGTCCCTGAAGGATAACATACCCAGCAGGCGCATGGAAACTACACCTCTTCCCCATATCTTGCCCTACGCATCTCTTCATCTGTATCCTTTGCAAAATCCTTTGTAATAAACCAGTAAATGTTAAGTGCCTCTGAGTTCTGTGAACTGCTCTGGCAAATTAACAGAGCACAAAGAGGGGGTTTGTGGGAACTTGAAGATGGTCAGTCACTAGTTCCAGAGGCCCAGACTTGCAACCTGTGTCTGGAGGTGGGAGGTGGGACAGTCTTGGGAAGTGAGCCCTCAACTTATGGGCTCTGACACTATCTCCAGGTAGACAGTGGCTAAATTGAATTGGAGGACACCTAGCTGGTGTCTGCTGCTTGCGTGTGGGGAAGAACCCCTACACCTTTGGTCACAGAAGTCTTCTATGTTGATGATTGTTGTGGTGTGAGAGCAGAAGAAACACACCACTTGAGAGAGGTTTTTCCCTACATAGCTATGGAGCTGCTCCACAGAAAAATGTGCACTTTAATACTCACATTCATGGACCCCTCTGACCTAAATAGCGTAGTCCACCTCTCACTTTCTCCATTTCTGTCTACTGTACTGTTCTTGGACCTGGCACCCTTCATTCTGCAAAGCCCATCTGTTCATTGCCAATACCTGATTACTTTCACCCTCATCTCTGCACATCTAGTTCACTGCTAGGGTGAACCTTCATTCCATAGGCTCATGTCCCCATGGGCTCCATAGAATAATACTCCTGGGATAATGCTCTGACCACTCTCTGTCTCCCCCGCCACCTCTCCCAGGGAGGAAGAGCAGCTCATCTGACTAGTCGCTCTTTCTCAGATCTGCCTTCTTGCAGAGAAAGAATATCCTGATTCTTTCTCCTCCATGCCATGGGTAGCCTACAGCTGTCTTCTGCTGTCCAAGCCTGACCAGGCAAGTTTAATTCTGTGGCAAAGTATAAAGAAATCCATTGTGGTGACACAGCTGTGTAATGTTCTCCAATCAATTTTATCAGCAATAAACTTGACATTTTAATCTTTGTCTGTTTCCTTAATCTTATTTCTCAATGATTTCTAAGCTCAGGAGAGGAAAAAAGGAGTGTTAATTATTGGCCCCTTAAAACCCTAACAATTTCCACAACATGCTGCTAACTCAACTTTCTGATGCCCAATTCTTCTAGTGCACTCTGTACACCAAAGCCTCAGTAATCCTTCTAAAATGCCATATTTGTCCGTTTCTTTCTCGTTCAAGAATTCATAATGGCTCCATTCCCTCTTTTAGAGCAAGTCTACACCTCATGCCCACTTAACGAAGTGCTTCACTGCCCCTCTTCGTCTCTCACCTGAGCTCCTGCGCATGCCCAGCACTAACATTATCTGCCCTTAAACAAACCTCCTCTCATCCTGCCTTGGGCTTTGACTTAGGCTGACTCACCCCTGTCCTCTCTTTTGATCACCTGATTTTGTCAAGATTGTGGTTCCTTTCTTGGCTTCTGTTCCTCAAGGCCAGGTCTTGTTCATTTCTCTCTACCCTAACTCACTGACCTACTTGCCCAGCCTCATGGCACTCACTGCACCTGTATTTCTAGTCATGTTTTTCCAATTACCATAAAAATGTTTCACTCTGACATCGTGCCATTTCAAACTCATCATCTTCTCCAGAGCAAGTTATTCTCTTTTGGGGATCACTGATCCCCAGCCAACACCATTATCTTGTCCTCCTGACTACCTCACATGCTTCTATCTAACTTTCAGTTGCATGGCCTTCTGTACCACTTCAGGTCTTACAAGTCACAGCTCCTTCTTCAACATAATGATCTTGAAGGCAGTGACCATCCTCCCCAAGACCTGGCGAAAACTTTCTCCATATTTCTAGGAACCAAGAAATCAGTCCTTAGACTTATGGGTCCCCAAGCCTGGTCTTCAGAGCCCAGGCCTCAGGGAATGCCTCTCCTGGTCCCGTAACTCACCAGCCATCATCTTTTGGGCCTCATAGGGCTCCATGTAGCCGTCATTTTCGGGGACCTTCTCCAGGGCTCCTGAAGCTCCTGCTGAGCCTTCACCAGTTTCCTGAACGTCAAAAGGATCCGCATAGTCTTCTAGGATTGCCAGCTGGGGGAGGAGAGGGAAGACAGCAGGCTTCAGACAGCTGAGGGATAGCTCTGCTTCTCCCAGATGCTCTGCCCATGGGAGGAAGAGTCCTGGGTAGGCTGCCTTAGACCATACCCAGGTTGGCAGGCTCTGAGCATGGATGGGGACAAGCGCTGGCTATTCCTTTGCAGGTTTCCCACTAGGCTGCCAACCAAGTAGTACACCTTTCCGTTCGGATAATTTTGTGCCTCTGGGCCATCTTCTAGGCTAAATGGCCAGGGTGAGGATGTTGGGCCTTAGGCCTACCTCAGTCAGGGGCCCAGCAGGACAAGAGCCTACACCAGGTGGTTCCACAGAGGAAATTAGTTCAGGGAAGTGGTTACCAAGGTGTTAGAAATTTCAGAGCAAGCAGGTAACAATGAAGCAACTCAGAGATTAGCATGATCCATGCCTACCAGGGGACTTCCAGATGCTGAACAAATGAATACTTGCTGACCATCAAGGAAGGAAAGGCTGAGTACCCACCTTTCCACAAGTCTGCTGATTGATCCTCACATCCCTGTCAAGTGCATATTAATATCCCCATTTTAAGGAATTGAGGCTCAGAGTAGTTAGAAAACAACATGCCCACTCTGCATAAAGTGGAGGAAGCAGGATTAGAATCCATGCTCTTTGTGCAAAAGGCTGTCAACCTGCCACTAGGGGGCATCTTGGCCATCCTGGAAGAGAGAATGCTGGAGGCAGGCTTTGGGGTAGCCCTGAGGCTCTGCTGAAATCCTCTTGACTCCTGGAGGACAGGGATGGGAAAGGCCTTGCCTTGGCCCTGTACTTCCCACACTGCCCTTTCTCCCACACAAGTGGCTCATGGCCACTTCTTTGTTCCTGTTCCCATTCAAAACAGACTGAACTGCAAACCACACACCCTGCAGAGGCGCTCAAGGTGCTCAGGGCGGGGTGCAGCTGAGGACAATAGAGCCTTTCTCCAAGCTAGGCCCAGGCTTCTCCTGGGGCCGGTGAGAAGGGAGGTGTGGCTAAGGTGGAGACAGAGCCCAGCCCCACTGGGGCTGCCAGCACCCTGAGAGTACTACCCCATTGGGTCGACAAGCAATGACAGGAGGTGGCTCTGTGGCCTGTGGCATGGGGAGAGGCCACTCTTGCCTTTCCCCAAATCTCAGACAAAGCTTTGGTTTTTAAGCTGGATCAGGGCTGTGGGAGCCAGCCTGGCTAGGAGGTCATGGAGGTGACCACCTTGCCCCAGGTTAGAGGATATGGGAAGGGGACTCCCAGCAGGGCAGAGGTCTGCCCCACCTCAGAGAGCCCTTCTGCATGTTCTTCGGCCTCCGCTAGCCCCTCTAGGGGTCTCCCTGGCATGACCCCATGGTTTCTACCATCTCCGCCTTCAGGTCTTCAGTTCCCACCATGTTCCAGGTGAACCCTTGGCTCCTTACCACCTCACTGGCATCTCTTCCTGTTTGTGAGATAATCATCATCTTACAAGATCATCCCATCACCAACACCAGCCCATATGCCAGCCTGGAGCTCTTTGTCAATGTTTTTTTTCCAGTTCCGATAAATACCTAGCATACAGTAGGCACTAAAAAAATGTGTCAACTCAATCATCACCTATCTCTCCTTGGAGCATTTCCCTCCAGCCATCCTCCCTTAAGGAAGTAGAGAACAGAAATCCACTCACCCCCTAATCACCCCAACTGCTTCCTCCCAGGCCAACTGGCATCCATAGCCCCATCCCTTGACCCAGGGAGCTCTGGAGCCAGCGCACTGTTGGGGACTCTGACAGCATCCAGCCTCACACTCATGGGGCAGCTGCTTGACAATGTCTGAGTCAACTGACACATTATCCTTAAGCCTTACAGTGGCTCTCCAGTACTTTAAGAACAAGTCTGAAGTTACCCAGACTTAAAAGCTTCTGCTTTCCTTGTTAGCTTCTTTCTATCCACTTTGGATCACTTTGTTCCCTGAAAGCTCTATGCTTTCTATACCTCAAAGGCTTTCCCTCTGCCTGGATCACATCCCTGTTCTTCCTGGACTGGCTGACTCTCATTGATTACTTCTTTTCTTTAGAAAAGCCTTTTCATACTTCCCGTAGCCCAGTTAGGTGCCCCAGTGCTGGGCTGTTATCATATTGCATGATAAATATTTGTTTTATTGTCTTCTGTAGACTGTGAATTTCCTGAGGGCAGAAACCATGTTTGTTGTTCAATTCCTAAAAGCTCCCAGTAAATATATGTTCAATCCATTCACACAAAACAGGAAGAATGGACAAAGGAAGCACTTTTCCTTGTTCATGCAGAAGTGAGAGGAAGCAGGAGTCTGAGTGGGGTGGGGTCATTCGAGGAGAGTATTTCCAAGTGAAGTTTGTCCCAGAAGCTTCTTGGTGAGCAGAGGTGTCTGCTCCAAGCCCCCAACACCCACCTCCACTCCACCAAGCCCCTCCAGTCCCTCCCTTATCAAACCTGGTCAGAACTGCATGTAGTACCTTTCCCATCAGAGTCCTGGGCCTGTGCCCAAAGCCACGACCCCTCCCATGTTGGCGTGGGCCTCCCTAGCTCCAGCCTGCAGTGCCTGTGGGCACCCAGGTGGCAATTCTACGGGCAGCTCAATGGTTCCTCTGTTCCATTCCTGACTCCACACCCTGCTCCAGAAAGCCCTGGCCCCCCACCCTGGGCTGGGATGCCCAGAGGAACCACCCAGAGGGCTATGTGTCAGGAGCAGAAGCAAGGATGCCAGCCAGGAAGGCTGGCAGGGTGGGCCGCCCACCTTGAACACAGAGGATCCTGGGCAGAGTCCAGGCCTGTTTTCTCAGTGGCTTCTAGGTCCCCAGGATAAACTGTTCAGTGGGGGAAGCTGTCCCTATAGGATTCTGACACCTTTGATCTACCACAATTTGTGATTTTGTTTATGGTCCTTTTGGCCCATTCTGATGTGCTCACTGCTGTATCCTGTATCAATCCTACGGCCTAGTAAATGCTTAATGCACATTTACTGGATGCCCAAGGGGCCTCCTTCTCTGACTCCATCCTCTAGAGTGACACCAACTTTCAGATCCCCCATTTACTCTGACTTCTGACTAGTAGTGGCTGTAAGATCAGGCTTTCAGCAGACTCTGCAAGCCTGGTGCATTGGCTCACACCTGTAATCGCAGTACTTTGGGAGGCTGAGGCGGGAGGATGGCTTGAGCCCAGGAGTTCGAGACCAGCCTAGGCAACATAGTGAAACCTTCTTTCTTTCTTTCTTTCTTTTTTTTGAGCTGGAGTTTCACTCTGTCGCCCAGACTGGAGTGTAGTGGCTGCTCCCGGCCACCGCAGCCTCGACCTGCTGGGCTCCGGCGATCCTTCCACCTCAGCCTTCCAAGTAGCCGGAATTACAGGCATGCGCCACCACGCCCGGCTGATTTTTTGATTTATTGTAGAGATGAGGTCTCGCTGCCCAGGTGGGTCTCGACCCGCGGGGCTCAGGCAATCCACTCACCTCAGCCTCCCAAAGGCGCGGGATTACAGGCTGAGCCACCGAGCCCGGCTACCTTATTTCTACAAAAAATAAAAAACGAGCTGGTCATGGTGGTGCATGCCTTAGTCCCAGCTACTCAGGAGGCTGAGGTGAAAAGACAGCCTGAGTCCAGGAGGTTGGGGATGTGGTGAGCCTGTGGTGAGGCTATGAGTGTGCACTCTAGCCTCAAGAAAAAAAAAATCTACTTTTCAATAGGGATCAAAGTCAGAAAGGAGGACCTGCCGCAAAGGGCCTTTAGGAAAGGCACCCAATAAAGCCAAGGCTAATATTTACACACATCCTGTTATAGTCAGAATGGTGCTAAAATGCTGAAATATTTCCAAACTGGAATATAAGGTAGTAGCTACCAAGAAGGCCCCCATCCTCCTCCCGCCTGCTATCCAGCAGGGTGCCTCCAGGACCCTGATACTGCATCTGTTCCAATTGGGCAGTGCCCCTCCCAGAGCAGCTGTCATATTTTGAATCTCCTTCCTGTCCAACCCTCTCCTGAGGAACCTAGCAGGCCCACCATCTGGTTCTTCTTCCATCTGTAAGTGGGCCATGCAACACATTCCTGACCCCATCCACAGGGCTCCAAGTGGTGTGAGTTCAAGAGGAGCAAAGAGGGGCATATGTTTCAGATGCTGGCTCTCCAAGGTCCCCAAAGTCTACAACTGTCCCTTTCCTTTGCTTTTGGTTTACATTTTAATGTCTGGAAACCTCTGGGTTTTTTTTATTTTTGTTTTTCACGTGGGGTCTCACTCTGTCGCCTAGGCTGAATTGCAGTGGCAGAATCACAGCTCACTGCAGTGTCAACCTCCTGGGCTTAGGCAATCCTCCCACCTGAGCCTCCCAAGGAGCTGAAACTACCAGCACGCATCGCCATGCCCGGATAATTTTTTTATTTTTGTGTAGAGACAAGGTCTTGCCATGTTGCCCAGGCTGCTCTCAAACTCCTGGGCTCAAGTGATCCCCACACCTTAGCCTCCCAATGTGCTGGGATTATAGGTGTGAGCCACCATACCTGGCCAAACTTCTGTGTTTTTAATCTGTAGACTGAGGATGGTAATAGTACCTAAGTCACAGGGTCAGAAAGAAAATGAATTTGTAAAAGTTCTTAGTCTAGAGGCTGGCATGGAATTAGTGCTCGATCAATGTTAGCTCTGAGGATAATCTTGTACAATCAAGTATTAGCTCAGAGTTTAGGTGCTTGTCCAGCATATGTAGCTTGTAAGCAACAGAGATAAGCTGGAGATCCAGGTCTCCTAACTCTCAGTGCCTTATCACAGATTTTCCAAAATTTTGGGAAATGCAGCATCTTCTCTACTTGTAGATTTAAAAGATATTTTAAAACTGAGAAGTCCTGCAGGAAAGAACTCAGTCTAAATTTGCTTAATTCAGTAATTCCCTATGTATTTAGCCACAGAAGCCCTTTGACACTGAAAACCTATTAACCTGTCACAGTTTGGGAAATGGTAAACTACTTACCTTCCACAAGATCAAACTTTTTGTACTCACTTTTCCTACTCATTGGAATGTCCTTCTCCTATTTTATCTGTCTGGGAAACTCCCTCATATAAAACAAATTTATTTTCCTTTTCTAATTACAAGAACAATGTTATATTTATAAAATGGTTAAACATCACAGACATGCAATTGATCTTACCCACCCTCATAAGACTTTAGGGTGTGTCAGGGGCCACCCTGGGACTGGATGGCAAGTGGTGGTCCCCGGGATTCAGGAAATGGTGACCTCAGTACATAACACACCCTCATTCCTTCTCTAAAAGTCTCCTTCCTCTTGTTCATTAGCAAATGCTTGGTGAACATCTCCTCTCTGCCAGGCACCTGATGGTGGGTGCTGAGGTCCCAGGCATGGTGCTTACTACAGTTGGGCTGTGACCTGGACTCTACTATTTGCTGAGAACCGTACAAGCCTGACTCACACTCCTGTACTTCTGTTTCCCCATTTATAACCTGGGGATGGCAATAGAATCTTCCTCATAGGGTTGTTGAAAGGATCAACTGGTCCTTTCAAATGGTACCAGCACAAGGTAGGTGCTCAGTAAATATTAGCCGCTATATTATGAAAGATAAAAAGGCCAAATTTCTGGGTCCTCCAGAAGCTCACAGTGACAGACACAAAACAACTCCAAGAAGGTGAAGCACCTTGAGGGCTGTGAAGCCCCAAGCCTGGGCCTCAGGCTCTGGGGGAATCCACAGGCCTACTGCATGCAGGGTTTGGGCCCCACTTGTGCTCTCACATCATATCAGGCTGGCTCTGTGGTGAGGGCAACGAAGCGGGCAGCAGGTTCTCCTCCAAGCCCTAGGCCCCAGTCAGGGCTTGATCAGCCCAGCCAGTTCCTGCCATTCATCGTCCTCAGGGTCCCAGCTGTTCCCAGCTCCCCACAGGCAGAGTGCCAGAGCTGAGGTGTCACCGAGTTACTCACTGGCCAAGTCAGCAAGCGCAGATGTCTTCTGGACAGAGTGAGTGCCACGGTGTGAGATGATGGCACTGGATAGGGTGGACAAGCCTGCCATACAATCCCCTGGTAGCTGCAGGCCTCAGTCATACCCCAAGCACCAGTAGCAGCACAGATGGCCAGCCTCGGCCACAGAGGGTGATGAGGTCTAAGCAGTCCACAAAGATCCCTCCACAGGGACCCCTCTCTTTTTCTCCCTCATCTCCATCAGAAAACACATGCAAGATAAGCAGATCAGACCTCTAGACTCTGTGGAAGTCTTAAGAAAGAACATTCAAGCAAACAAACTTCAAAGAGCAAGGACTAGGTCTGCTAGGTGCTATGTCTCTTTCAGTACCTAAGCCCTGTCACCTCATGTCACTCAATGAATACTGGCTGAGGGATGGCCACACACTGGCAGCAGTACTGGCAGCCACTACCCATCCTTCTAACCTCAGGGTAGAAATGTCTTGTTAACTTCAGACACCCTGACTGTCCCCCCACTTTTACTCTTCCTACCTCTGTCTGTTCACTCCTTTCCAAATTTGGGTCTGGAGGATCCAAGTCCATATGAACATCATCTATGAGGTACATCTATTTTTAAAAGTCCTTAATATTTTGGGGCCTGTGAATCCCTTTGAAAAACTAAGGACTATGAGCCTTTCCCCAGAAAATGGGAAATACTTGCACACAGTTTCTGGAGGCTGGAGGTTCATGAAGCCCGGGAGCCTCAATAAGCTAAGAGCCCTGGTTTCAAGACAGGGTGCCTGACTGTCTTATTGTCCATATCACTCCCCCCACACACTTCCCATCTTGGCATGGTGGAGGCAAAGGACACACTGTGCAGATGGTTGCAGGCAGCTCAAAGCTCCATTCACTCAGGCCCCTGTTCCCATATCCATCCCCTTCTCTAATTAGACCAGGCTTTCCCAGGCTTCTCTCCTGAGAAGAGAGAAAAGCAAGAGAAGGCCCAGCTCTCTATACCCCTGCCAGAGTGTGGCCTGGAGGCTAGACAAGGGCCCAGTGCCATGAGGGAGCTCTTCCTGTGGCCAGATGGCAAGGCCCCTGCCAACCCATTGCAGGGTGCGGCTCCTGCTGCTCCCACACCTGCCCTGCCAGGCCTGCCCAGATGGTCATCCTGGCACCCCTACCAATGACAGCAGTGGGTCTTGGATTGGGGGGACTGGCAGCCAGAGCCCTGCATGGGGAGAAGGCTAATGGTCCTGAGCCCCCTGGGCCTCTCCAAGACTTGGTCTGTCCAAGTCTCTGTTCGCTCCTGTCCCCACATCACTGGGTTTCTACTCAATCCCTCTGGCTTGTCACAGAAACACTTCCACTCATTTCATCAAATTTCATGGGCCAGCCCTTCTTAGAGGGTTCTGACCCCACCTCCAGTACCACTGGACTCCAGGAGGCCAGCCCAAGGCACATCTCTGTTCCCAGTCTTCATCTAACATCAGGAGGAGACCCCAAAGCAACAAGCAAAGGAGCCCCACAGAGCTGAGAGGAGGGGGAGCAGAGAACAGGGAGAAAGCAGCCACATAGTACATAAACACCAGCTCAGTGGAGGCACAGGGACAAGGGCCAGCTCACCAACCAGGGGAAGCATCTCTAAGTGAGTTCCACAGGCATGCAATACTTAGTAGGCCCGAGGGAGCCTGGACACTGGGTTTAGGGTAAGGGACTCAGGCATCTTGTCTGGGCTCTTCCTAGGGGTAGACTCTGACACACCAGACTCTGCTCCTAAAGGGGTGGGGAGCTGCTCTTTCTAAATGGTGGGAGGCCCCAGGTCAAGACCCATGGAGACAGCGTCCCTGCCCATTGGCCAGCTCGGATGACATGCTGGGTCCTTCTCATCACACCCACTAAGAAACCACAGATTGTATGGCTTCTGGGAGAGCCTGCTGGATTTCATTCCTGTCCCTATAGCTGACAAAGGAGTCAGACATCTCTTGGCCCTCCAAGTCTGAATAGCACACAGATCACAGAGCTGACCCAAGCTGAGGCATGGATACCCGCAGTAAATAGAAGCTGTGCGTCTCTCTGTATAGCTTGGTGGGTGTAGCCCTTTCTTAGGGGGTCTCTGGGAAAATGTGCAAGAGAAGCTGTGGGTAGGGAAGTCCCTGACCCTCAGGTCACCCTGGTAGTAGACAATTTTCATTCAGGATATATTTATGCACTCCTCTTTATACCCTGTCAGGCACTTAGGAAACACAGACATGTGGGGGACACAGTCCTTGTCCTGGAGGAGCCCATGACCTGGTGGGCAGCCTGTTAGGTCATTCCAAGCCACTGCAGGGGGGAGAAGGGCCAAGGACAGCTCAGGCCCATGTCGCCTGTGCCAAACAGGCAGTGGTCAGAGAGGAGGAGACTAACTGGTCAGTGGTGGCAACAAGGCCTAGCACTCCCCTCCGCCTCACTGTCACCAACCACCTCCATCACATCACACAATAGCAAGGGACAATTAAGAAGCAGATGAGCACAGCCTTGGAGAAGTGTCCTTGATCCTTCCACTGCAAACTAAAGATCCTGGCCCAGGATGGGCAATCATGCCCCATGGCAAGAACTAGGGAAAAAATAATTCACATTCCTGAGGCTTCTGCTCTGACCCTGACACATCTCTCTCATCCAAGAAATCGGGCAGAACGGCGCTCTCTCAGCTAAAAGCCTCCATGCTGGAGCCAATGGATCCAGACAGCAACTTTGCTCTCCAATCAAATAGAAACGTTCTCCTGTACTGAGGAGAAGGGAGTAAGCCCCAGAGCTGACCTCCAAGGGGTGAGTGAAGAAGGACAACAGAGCCAAGGTGGCCCGCAGAGTCATCATCCTAGAATTTAGGGCCATAGGAACCTGGGAATGACTTTCAGCTGTCACTCTGCCAGGAAGAGGTAAGGCAGACGGGAATCAGGGGAGGATCCTGAGGAATGGTGAATATCCGGGGGAACAGTGAATGTCCTGCTCTCCTCCCTACCCCAGTGCCTGCAGACCTGGGAAAGGCCCTAGCCTCCCTCAGAACAGACCCCTAGAGAAGGAGCCCAAGAGGGGAGGAAGAATGGGGTCAGTCACTTAGCCCCATCTGGGCAACAGGTCCTGAGCACTGATTGTCCTCAGGCCTGGGGGGGGGCAGGGGAAGGAGTGAGGAGTGGGCCTGGTCCCCAGTGGTTGCATCCTTGGCATGCTGCCCATCCTGGCCTGAGAACAACAGCCCGTCTAGCTTCAGTCCCACCCAGTAGGGCAAAGGCCAGCGCTTTCTGAGCCCACAGGTAGAAATCCCAGCCTTCATCTCCTTTCTGGGGCTTCAGCACCTGCAAGGATGCTTGGGGGGCATGCTGGAGGAGGAGGAAGAGGAGAGAACAGCAGCAAGACAGAAGAGCTTTGTGCTGGCTCTGCCCTGGGGGAAGGGTCAGAGATCAAAGGGCAGGGAGCTGCTGCTCCCATAGGGGCAGAATAGCCATAAACCAGCGGGGGGGGGGGGGCAGCAGGGGTGGGGGTGTGGACCTCAATTCCCGTTAGAAAAAGGCTCAGGCATCAGGCTAGGGGCGAGGGGGTGGGGTGGAGGGCTGCGAAGTGAGAAGCGGAGCCCGGGAGGGGGAGGGTCACCAGTCCTGGGGTCATAACAGGGGATAAAGGGCAGAGTTTGGGGCTTCCGTCCCAGATTTGTCCGTCGAGAATCTGAACAAAGGTAGGTGAGGACTCGGAGTCCCGGGGTCAGGGGCTTGTGTTCGCCAGGAGCCGTGACACTGAGGGGCCCGGCCCCGGCCAGGCCACCTTTGTCCCTCTCGCAACCTCCAGACCTTTGGCCACCTCCTCTCCCGGCCACCCCCGCCCGGGGCGGCACTCACCCTGTCGCTGCTGGCCGGGGGTCCGGAGATCCGCTCATCGGCAGGGGGCGCCGGGGGCCCAGGGGT